AATCGCATGAAAGAAAAAATAAACATGGGGCTGGGAAGGTGGCTCAGTGGTAGAGCACTTGCCTTGCATGCTTGAGGCCCTGGGTTCAATTCCTCAGCACCACATAAGCAAAAAGAAAAAAGCCGGAAGTGACGCTGTGGCTCAAGTGGTAGAGCGCTAGCCTTGAGCCTGAAGAGCTGAGAGACAGCGCCCAGGCCCAGAGTTCAGGCCCCACGACCGGACCCAAAAAAAAAAAAAAAAAAAGAAGGAAAGAAAGAAAAAAAAAAAACATTTGAATACTTATCTTAGGATTCATTTCCCTAACATCAACTTATCTGACCTTTTCTGCTTGTCTCAGACATATACTAGTTATTGCAAATAAGGGAAACCATGGGACCTATGTTTCTTTGGGCCTGGCTTACTTCACTTAATATAATTTTTTCCAAATCTTTCCATTTCCTAACAAATGGGGCAATGTCATTCTTTCTGATGGAGGCATAGAATTCCATTGTGTATATATACCTATTCGTTCTTATTACTTTCACAGGGATGGAGAAAAAAGAACAGACAATTTAAACTATTTAATGCCAAGGTCTCTTCCAGATTTACTAAATAAAATTTCCCAGAGTGGAGTACAGAAATTGGAGCAGTTCTCTTTGTCACATACACTTACAGTGGTAACTACAGCTGTCATTTCAACCTCAGGTTAATTGTTTAATATTCTTATTTCTCTGATGAGGAAACTGAGTTGCAGTGACATTCAATTGTTTGACCTAAAGTCACCAGGTAGGATATAGTGGAGTCAGATTTGGAACCCAGTTAGTCAATCCTTTTAACCACTCTTCTATGCCATAGATTCTGTGATCTACTCTGTTTGGGGTCCACAGCTAATTTCTTTCCCATAAGACCACTGGAACTCATACAAGACAAAGGACTTCTTTGATGGTGGAATCAGGGTCAAGATAGGTTTTATGTCTCCTCATCTGTGGAGCATTCCATTCTCTTTAGTCATTCTGAGACCTATGAGGAGCAGGCCACTCACATAAAAACCCAGGGTACAAGAGAGTGTCTAGCAATGTTTCTGCTGTCAGTAGTGGTATTGAGGAATGCAAAATATGTACCCTGGCATTGGTTTATTTAACCATTTCTTGTGGAATATAAGCTTAAAGTCAGACACACACACACACACACACACACACACACACACACACACACACACTTTCCTCAGAAACCATTTAACAAAGCTACTTGCTGAGGATGGTATAAAAGATCCCTAACACCACCCAAGGGTGCAGTGTATGCAACAGAGATTGTCTGCTGTTAAAAAGTGTGTCAAAACCTCAGTGTCTACCCTCCCACCCTCCCCTAGTGACACCACCATGGGATGGTCCAGCCAGATAACATGCCTCAGTTGCTGTCCAAAGAAGCCATAGGCCAAACAGGCTTTTCCATTTCCAGATGCTTTCTGATGAAAAATAAAAGCTACTCTGTAACCTGACTTTGAATAGACAAAGTGTCCTTAGGAGAATGACTGGATAAGTTCACAGTTTTTCTATGACTCTTCATTGAGCAACTGAATGTTTGTATGCAATACATTTATGACTTCAGCAGCAAAGGGGCATAGAAGGGTTAAGTGACTTATGGAAGGTCATTCTGCCAAAGACAGATGCCTTTGTTCCTATGTGCCCTTCGCTCTGCCTCTGCTGGTCTACAGTCTACCTTTGAGAGGCAAGTGGTCATCTTGCCCAGCTGGGAACTCATTCAACATCTCTGTCCTCCAACAAGTCTTGTGAGCTCACATTTTCTGTCTTGGTGGCTTCCATGGTACATTTCCAATGGTGCATCCATCCTCTAGGGATATAGACCATAGAGGGGGCGAAAAAGGACCATTATTATTTGGATCTAGGCCATAGTTAAAGATCTTTGGGACAGTCTATGAAAGAGAGACAAGCACATTTGACCAACTTCCATCTTGGACTTGCCTTGTCTAGAATTCCAGAAAAGTAAAAGGGAAAGAGGCTAGATGGTAGTATACAGGTCCCATCACCACCACCGTTGTACAGATTACCTCTTACCTTCTGCTTGCTTTCTCCTTCTTTCTCTCTCTTTTTGTCCTGGTACTAAGGATTGAACTTATGACCTTAGCCTCTTACTTGTCTTTTTCTGCTAAAGGCTAAAGCTCTACCACTTGAGCCAAACCCCAATTTTAAACTTTTTGCTAACTGATAGGAAATAAAATCTTTCAGATTTATCTGCCCAGGCTGGCTTTGAACAATGATCCTTAGATCTCAGCCTCTTAAGTAGCTAGGATTCCAGGTGTGAGCAACCAATGCCCAACTCTCCTTCTTGAATAGAAGCCATTTCAACCATGTGCTAAGTTCAGAGACAGTAAGGCTGTCCATGGGCTTGCGAGAAAGCGTGCCCATCTTAAATCTCAGTAATTCTAGGATAAGCAGAGTAATTCAGTGTCCCTGCCTCAGATAGATCCAAGGACCGTTCACATACTATGGAGAGGGTGACCAGTACAAATAGTTACTGCATTTGTCCAAAGACCCTCAGCTAATAATTGAGAATACATACTATTTCCTTTTCCACTTTTGTTCTTCCCAAATGTTGCTGAACTCCAGTTCTGTGGATCTTTTCATGAAAGCCTCTGCCAAATTTTCATTTCTCCATTCTGTGGAAAGATTGAGTTGGATCTCTATTTCCCTCTATAAAGACAGGAAGAGGAGTAATAAACCAGTAGCCAGGGCTGGGAGGGGGGGATACCTCATTTTCTGGTTTTCCTTGAATGCTACAAAACAGCTTCTTCCCTAATCTGAAAACACCAAAGCATTTAGTGTGGTTTATCTTGGGCCACATCTACAGGAAACCAATATAGCCAGTAGGCGAGTGAAGAACTCAGTCAACCACTGTTTGAGAGTCTGTTGGTGTGTTATTTTTTTCCTTTTTTAACAGCTCTAAATTACCCATTTCTGTGTACCACAGAAGCTTGTGGGTCACAATACATTGATGAATGCTATAGGAACCAAGTTTGTTTTGTCTTACTTAGGTCTTTTTTTTTTTTTTTTTTTTTTTTGTCTATGTGGGTTTTCTTGTTTGGGTCTCCTGAAGACATGGAAACATCCCCCACCCTCTGTCCCTCTTTCCTTTCATTTTTCTTTTAAATTGCCTTGTGGATCGGGGGCTCCCTTGGCTTGGCAAAGATTAAGTAGCCTCATAGTCTGTTTTAACTTTCCCCTGAGGCTTTGAAGCATGTGGCTGAGAAAACAAATTTCAGTACTTGGAATATTTTTCCACAACATTTCATCCTGAAGCTACAATTCTTGGGGATAATCCATGGGCAACTTTGATGTTTTCTTTTGTGTGGGTGTGGTAACTTTATTTTTTTTAATTTAATTTGATTTGATTGTAAAAGTGATGTACAGGGGGGTTATGGTTTCAAAAGTAAGGTAAGAAGCACAGTTCTAGTCGAATAGTGTTACCCTCTCCCATGTTTTTACCCACTTTCTCTCCCCCCTCTCGCCCCCCCCCCCCACTTAAGTTATAAAGTTCATTTCCCACATAGTACCTTGTGATTATGGCTGTTGCATTGGTTTTCTTACAGTCATTAAATCTGTGAAACGTCACAAAATGCTGTATCTTGCCAGGTACCAATGGCTCACGCTTGTAATCCTAGCTACTCAGGAGGCTGAGATCTGAGAATCGAAGTTCAAAGCCAGCTGAGGCAGAAAACTTTATGAAACTCTTACCTCCAATTTAGCCACCAAGAAGTGGCTCTGTAGTTCAAAGTAGTGGAGCTCTAGCATTGAGCAAAAGAGCTCAGGGATAGCTCCAAGGCCCTGAGTTCAAGCCCCACAACTGATCAAAAAAAAGTCTATATCTTAAATGATTTCCAAGTAGACTGTTGGGCCAAAATTTTAGCGTCCAAGATAAGTGCCTTGTGTTTCACTCCACAGAGAATTGTAACCATACCTAACAGATGTGTAGCTTCAAAAAGGCAAAAGAAAAGGCCTTTAGTAATATCCATCTGTTGGACATTTCCCCTTTTATCTCTAGAAGAGACCGAGGCTATGTGAACAATGCTGCCAACCCTACACTAGATTATAGTCACATTTGTTCTCATTAAGAGGAGAGGAGAGGCAAATGAGGGATATTGGAAAATTGGTCTGCAGTATCTAGGTCAGGTTGTTGGAAGCTCTCTGGGACTCTCATTCTGGGACCAAGTCCTGTCAAAGATCAAGGCAAGCCCCATTCCTCCTTCAACAGATGGAGATGAAAAGACACTGTAAGCCCCACCATCTACAAATCTAACATTTGACACTATCAGTAAATAGCATCTCTCTGCTAAGGCGTCAGCAATCTGAAAAGGCCTTCTTAGGCCAGAGGGTTTGGGGACTAGGGTGAACATTGCATCATTTTGGAACCTCATTGAAGCTACTGGGCCTCCCATTGGTACAATTTATTTTTTAGGACTATAATATGACTATAATATGACTTTCTTTCATATGGTAGAGTTTTTAGACTGAAAGAAACGGTTACTGAGTGGTAAGCCGTTCTCTTTCTCACTCCTCTCTCTCTCTCTCTCTCCTCTCTCTCTCTCTCTCTCTCTCTCAGATTTTTCACTCAGGTTTTTCTCCCTCCTTCTCTCCTCTCCCATTCTTCTTTCTTCCTTTTTTCCTTTTCTTCCTCCCTTTTCCCTTCCTTCCTTCGTTCTTTTGTTCATCCATTCCTTCCTTCCTTCATTTTCTTCCACCCTCCCTTTCCTCTTCCTTTTTTCCTCTACCTCCTCCTCTTCCTCTACCTCCTTCTCCTTCCTTCTCCCTCCTCCTCCTCCTCCTTCTTTTTCTTCTTCTCTTTCCCTCTCCCTCTCTTCCTTTCCTCTTCCCCCTCCTTCTCCACCTCCCCTGTCAACACTCTCTAGATTCCCCCAAAGAGCCATTTCTGCTTAAACAGACACCGCAGGAGGGGAGGGCAGAGGGCATCCTCTCATGACTTACATAAGGACTTTGAGCTTTGCCTTAGCCCTTAGGAAGTCTCCATTTGCCCCCAATAGTATAGCTGAAGGAGCCTCTGGAATGACAGGATTCTGAGGGCAGGGGCAGCAGTACATTCAATAAAGAGAGCCAGCTGACCAGCTGCAGTCTCTGCAGTCCTGAGTCCACCTCTCTCCTCAAGCCAGGGTGCTGTTACCCCCAGCCACTTCTGCACAGTGAGTAATCAGGTCCTCCTCACCTCTTTGCTAGCAAGGCATGAACTGGGTTGTTGTTATTGTCTCATGGAAACTCCCTTGGGGGTGGGTAGCCCCTGAGGACTTTGATAGAGTCCCTTACCCTGTCCCATCAGAATCATGAGGTTTTTCTGGAGGTTCATATGTTCTAAGGATGTGCTTCTAGGAAGCGGTCTCAACAAGCAGCAGCAACCCTTCCATCGCTGAGCAAGAGAACGGACTGTTGTCTGATTTTAGCACCGCTATCACAGGCTCCTCCAGAGACACCAATACAAGGGAGGCAAGCACCCCTGAGAACTTGGGCTTTGGGTGCCTTTGAGAACACAGACAGCTGCAATCTTGACACCAATAGACACCCTTTCAGTCCCTGCATTTGCCACTGTGGATGTTACTATACGCCCTTGAAACTCACCCTCAAGGGCATCTGGTGATGCTTGAACACCTTCTATGGTGTGTACACCAAATAACCAACCATCCTGTCTTTATACTCCCCTAATAGAAGGGGTCACTATACTCAAGATGTTTTTTGTGCTCTGACAAAAAAAAAAAAAAAAAAAAAAAACCACCAAGATTCCCTTGCATGTATTCAGTCTGTCCATTTCCTATTAATTGATCACATACTATCTGACAGGAACTGCCTTATGCCCTGAGGACACAGCAGGGAATGAAACAAATGGGATCCCTGCCCTTATGGAATTTACAGACCAGTGAGAAGCTACAAAGAAAGGATCAGACTTCCGCCACTCAGCAACACTATTCCCTACCCCTTCCCCATCAGTTGTGATACCTCCCTCCCCAAATGACACCCAGTCACTTGGGAAAGTCTGATCTATGAGGTGAGGGCAGAACTCCTTTTCTCTGAAAACTAGATGTTTATGAATGCAATTCGAGACTAGACATTTCATTAGCCATGTCAGCTAGTAGTAGGCTGTGAGCACAACCTCTAGCCCCACCACCTCCCTTTTCTGTGCATGATTTTTTCCCCCATTAAGCCCATATTTTTTTTCTATTCTATATTTGTGCAATTGATTTGGGGGATCAAATGACAGGAACATCATATTTATTTCTGTTAAATTTTACTGTGCTAAATTACAATCATTCCAATCTATTGAGTTAGTTTGCAATTTAGCAGGACAGAAAGCCCTTTGCAGAACTTACTTAGGGGAATGGGGGCGGGGGTGGGGGAAGTAGGAGAATGTGGACTATAAATAGAACTTGGATCATCGGGTGATCATAGCCAAAATTGGGAGATCTGTCAAAATCAATGTTGTACTAGGGTTTTATTCCATGGGGGTGACATTTAAAACAAAACAAAAAAAAAAGGGAAGTGAGCATCAGTTGAGGAAAACGATGTAGACAATTCCAACACATAGGCCAGATTACACCCTTCTCAGAAAGATTCCCAAGTGCTCCCCAAGTGTTCCGATTGAGCCTGTACGAATTGTGGAAGGAGCTTTCAGACACCAAATCCTCAAGGCAATAGTGCATGACCAGCAAAGATGTCTGGGACTTCTGTCCTCCCATCTGAGCTGTATGAGCTATGACACCCCATTGCATTGTTTGCCTGGCAGAGCTACAGACTAAGCTCTGACTTGGTGTTTCATGGGACAACAAGATAATCAGTGTATGAGTCTTTTTTTCCATGATATCCAATCCATAGAGAGCAGGTTCTTTGGTGCTGTGCCCCCAACCTGGGATTCCAAGCCAGGAGCGCAGCTCAAGTGATAGAGCACTTCATACATAAGGCCCTGGGTTCAGTTTCCACTACCATAAACCAAACTAAGAAAAACTAGGAACTGATGGTTCATGTCTGTAATGCTCACTACTCAGGTAAGTGAGATCTGGGGATCTTGGTTCAAAGCCAGCCTGGACAGACAAATCTGAGAGCCTTTTATCTCTAATTAACCAGCCAAAAGCTCTAAGTGAAGGTGTATGAGTGTCTAAGTGGTGCCAAGTAAGAGTAGGAGACCCTGACTTCAAGCCCCAGTGGTGGCACATGAAACTAGCAAGTTTCACTAGCACTGAATGGAGCTTTGCTAAATAGACTACAAGCCTTGCTTAGGCTAACACTGCTGACCTCCTCCATCCCCCATCCCCCACCCCAGCCAGCCCCACCTTCTTGCAGTTTTTGTTCATCAAACTTGAGGAAAAGGCTGCCTGCCCGACTGCTCATTATTCCTGGAAGTGGCATGCTATGCAGTGGGCAAACATATTCTGCAAACATTGGCCCACAAGAGGCGAGCTGTTGACTTCTGGGAGCTGTATTCTGGGGGTGGGAGGGGCTCAGGAGGCATTCCTCAGGCATGAGGCAGTCCCTTCCCTGGCCTGTTAGAATTCTGCTGTCAGGTCAGTGGGAAACAGGCAGCAAGGATAGTCCCCAAGCTGGAATGGGACCACCCCAGGGGACTTAGGCTATGCAGACTTGTTTTTCAGGTGCGTGGATGAGCCTGGGCTGAGGATTCCTAGGTAGCAACATCTAGACTATGGCTCTTTCTGTTGTTCACACATGCGCACTCACGCACGCACACATGCAAGCATTTCAGCTGCCATCCCGTCCGACTTTTGCTTGCACACATGTTTCCCAGAAACAGAAACAAAAATGTGTTTCGCGAGGTGGGGGTGGGGTGGGGAGACCGGAGTGACAGTTACATTAGCCGTATGCGGGGGCCATCCTCATCACCCCGGCATTTCCTGGACAGGGTTACAGTCTCCTATGAACCTCTGCCAAAGTTCTATTGAGTTCCAGGGCAAGCTCAATGGCCAAGAGCAGGCTGGCCTGACTCAGAGAGAGGAATGAAAGACTTGAGGCCAACTAGCCAGGCAGGAAAGGCTCCTCGCCAGCCAGTGCCTTCCAACCTCCTCAGCCTTGTCTTCTATTGCTTGGTATCTCCAGCTCCAGGTTTAGAAGGCCATCCCAGTACTGTATTTCAAGCCCTCCCCCCCCCCCCATGGTGGTGCATGTTCCCTCTATCGAAAATGTTCCTTCCCCGCTTCAATTCCAACTCCTACTCATCCGTCAAGAATCCTCTCCAGTGCCACCTCCCCTGGAGGGGCTTCCTTGATTTTCTCTGCCAGACTCGGTCTTCCCCAGGCACTTTTTTCCAAAACACTTTTCACCAGTCAGCACTTCTCACACTAAAGAACAATAGCTCACGCTTATCTACAAATTACAACAAGCAAGTCCCAAATCCTTTACATGTGTCAACTTTTACTCCTAACAATTTCAGAGTGTTGTTGGCATCTTGATTTTATTGATGATGGAATTGAGAAATTTTGAGGTTGAGTAACTGGCCCAATATCCCACAGCAAGGGAGTGGTGAGGCCCGGATTTGAACGCAAGCCATCTAGCTCTGAAATCTGTCGTATTGGAAAATGAAGTCATTGAGGGCAGAACAGTCAAATCATCTCTGAATTCTCAGTGTAGATACTCCAGAGATGTTGGGTGGACTGAGTGGAACTACTTGAGCCCACTGAGATCATGGAAGAACATTCTGGAAAGTTAGAAAGGGCCTGATAAAAAGGCAGCCATGAAGTAGACAAATATTCCAGGCCTAGGAAACTCCACAATGGGATCTGCTCCCTCCTCTGGTCTAGGAACATGAAAGCCAAAATGATGGCCCAGTCCTCACCTTGGGTGGCAGTGTGTATGTGTGTGTGTGTGTGTGTGTGTGTGTGTGTGTGTGTGTGTGTGTGTGTGTTGGGTGGGGGTGACAGTCATTTCCCAAAGTCAACCCATTTCCATTGGGCCTGTGTACCTCATTGCCACCCAATATAGCCATAACTGCACATTTGGTTTTGGTTAAAGACAATAATGATTTGGGTGCTGGAGGCTCACGCCTGTAATCCTAGCTATTCAAGAGGCTGTGATATGAGGACCATGGTTCAAAGCCAGCCTGGGGCAGAAAAATTCCCACTAGACCCTTATTTGCAATTAACACTCAAAAACTGGAAGTGGTGCTGTGGCTCAAGTGGTAGAGCAGTAGACTTGAGCAGAAAGAGGCTCAGGGACAGCGCCCAAGCCCTGAGTTCAAGCCCCACAACTGACACACAAAAAAAGACAACAATGTACTTGCTATAGGCTGGAGGCAGTGGGTGGGGTAGGAGAGGGCTGGGTTTGGCTTGGTTTGGAAGGCTCATACTTAACCCTTCCTCCTCACACTCAGGGAGATTTGGAAGAAACAAAAGGAAAAAAAGTCTTTCCTAGTCCTAGAAGTTTCTGTCTTTTGCCTTGAAGCTTTCATGGAAAGACTTTCTGTCTCTGTGAAATTCCTTTAAGAACGTGGGGAGATGGCCACTAGGACCAAATGAAAACCTGTCACCAATCTTTCTGGGGTCCTCATAGGTCCTTTTTTAAATATATATTTTTTTATTGTAAAAATACTGTACAGAGGGGTTATACTTACATGAGTAAGGTAATGAGTACATTTCCTATTGAGCATTGTTACCCACTCCTTTGTTTTTCCCCTACCATCCCTTCCCTCCCCACCTCCCCAACTCCCCCCTCCCCACCAAAGTTGTAAAGTTCATTTTCAACATAGTGTTTTGTACATCTAATTGCTACAATGGATCATCCTGTATCCTTATTTCAGCATTTTGTTATTTCCCTTCCCCTCCCCAAATTAGAAAAATGTATATACAAAATGCAGGACACCAGAATCAAATACAGTGAAAACAGGGGTTATACCATGGGAGAAGAACATACAAAAGAAACAAATATCACATAGTACATTATAGGTACATTGAAAACAATAACAACAAAAGATAAAACCTCTTATGTCCATATCTTGGGGTTCATTTCGCTTGACATCATCTTATATAGTCATATGTACATAGCTTTTGACCTTTCTTCGTGTCATAGACATATACTAGTTATTGCACATATGGGAAATCATGGGTTCTCTGTTTCTTTGGGCCTGGCTTACTTCACTTAATATAATTTTTTCCAAGTCTTTCCATTTCCTAACAAATGGGACGATGTCATT